CAGCAGTTGCAGGGTATAAGCAGTGGTCTCTCTGTTCTTAGAAGAGAGAAGAGATTACCTGGAGACCCAAGGCAGATAGAAAAAGCTTCAGAGTGTTTTTGCGCAGAAGCAGACTGAGGCTTTGTGAGTAGCCCACAAGCAGGATAATTTAGACTGTAATATCTCAGTCTTTGAATTCTTACCTGTAGTAAAATGAAAGTGACTGGAAGAACACCAAGACTTGCACATAGTAAGATAACAAATGGTACCATCGGTGGCTCCAAGCATTGCCTGGCATACACATGTACATAAGCCGGCCACAAAATGGAAGTCAGGCCACGTGCTTCATCATAATTTGCACTGAACCCAAGAATATTAATTCCCACCAACAGGCAGGCTGTTAGCTCAGGCTTAGTGCCATTCTACTGTAGCTACATAGCTTCTGACTGCTTTGGAGCATGGGGAGAAGCAGCTCATGGTTGCTTGCAGCATGGTGAAAGTAACTCACATCTGCACATGACCGTGTGCCCCGTGCTTGAAGGGCTCAGGTCAGATTGACAGTGGTAGTCATTGACTTTGCGTGTTTTCTCACGCGGGATGATGGCCAGTGTGCATGAATAGCTTTCTGGGATGAAGTCAAAGCACAAGATCCTCTGAGGCAATTTAAAAGGAGTGAAATTCTCAAGAGGATAATGCGGAGCAAACTGATGTAAATTATTCTTCTGCATAAACTGCAATTTTTGTAATTTGTTTTGGGAGTGAAGGGAGTGTACTTTCCTTTATGGTTTTCGTTTGCATAAATTCAGAAAGCATTCTGAATTTTTTTTTCTGAAAATAAAACTTAACTGTTGAGAGGAAGGAGAAAATTTTGTGATGAAGGGAAAATATTATAGTAGGAAAATTGGGGATTATTGTGATGACTATGTTTCAGACTTACACGATCTGAAAATAGATGAACTGAGGAGATTACTTTGTATGAATTTTACATATGTAAATGGACATACCATTATCTATCAATATAAAATATGAGTGCATATTTACTGTGTAATAATTCAACTTTATAAGCAAATTAAGATTGCCTCAAATTTACATACAATATGAAGAAAAGTCCCTTTATCCTCTGTAACTGCAGCATTTGGCAGATTCAGGAATAAATAATCTTTTGTGGCAAGGGTATGCCTTATCAAACATATGCAGATCAGTGCTAATTAATGCTAATTAAGGTTTCCTGTCTATCTAGCTGGAAAAACGTCCAAATGTTATGAAATCCAGTTAGTATGCCTATTACCCTAATTGTTTTATATGGGATGGTTCTTAATTAAAATATGTAAATTGACCTTAATTGCTATATACTAATGGAGGTTCATGTTATCTCACTAAAAATGACAAGATGGTGAGGAGGGGTACTTAAACAAATAATTCTGATACATTTGTAAATAAATGACCTTTACTCAAAATTATTTTTAATTGGAAATTGGCAAAAGGAACATTTTGCCATCTATGTTTCTCTTTAGTTTTAAATAATGTCAGAATTTACAGTTCTTTGTTAATATAGATCCAGTGACATTGCAGCTTAATTAAGACTACTAAACAAGTCAACATTTTCTGTGTTTACTGTATGTTTCAAAATTGTTTGCTAACCTCACACTGACCTTCAGAAATGTCATGCTTTACAATATTCATCTTCATTTTCACTATTTTTGTTTTTTGATTCTGATCTCTTTTAATCATATGGTTTTATTTGTGAAGTTTGATGCACTGGTGTCCTTTTGCTGGTGCCTGGCCTGTGTCTTTTGCACTTCACCTGTGAGTGTATGACATGGACTTTGGGGAGGATAGTTCACATGTCTGCTGTTACCTACTGAGACTGAGACTGAGACCTGAGGCTGACTGAGACCTACACAGGTTTCTGCATGAAGTCTTGTATGCCCTCTGCTCAACACGGAAGCATTATTTGAATGATATTTTGTATGGCAGTTTATAGGTGCCCTGTATTGGCATTTTTCTCTTCTGATGTAAAGAATTTACTTTGAGAATCTGCTCATTTAGAGAAGTAGCCTATAATTGTAGCTTTTGATCATAATAACAATAGAATTTTAAAACATCTGCTACATGTAAGTCTATATTGTATCCTGCACATCGTTTATATATGGCTCACTTTGCAAAATCGATCTGAAACTATTTGCCATTTTGCAGGATATTGTGACCAATGTTTCTCCAAGGATTGTGCGTGGAACAACTTCAGGTCCTATGTACGGCCCAGGCCAAGGGTCTTTTCTAAACATTGAACTGATCAGTGAGAAAACAGCAGCGTATTGGTGTAAAAGCATTGCTGAACTGAAGGCTGACTTTCCAAATCATGTAAGTACCACTCAGTCATAAAGATACAACATATTTGGAATCTCTGGTTTGCACATCTGTGAAAACTCACCTATTTATTAAATAAATTCTAGTTTCTATTTATTAAATACAATGCAAATTGCTTTATTGACATAAGAGTACATAATTAAAAAACCAAAAATCCCATGCAAATAATATTTATAACAGAAAATTCTGTGAAATTACTGTTATGCAAATGGAACAGTCATGGTGTTTTAGTTAGGCTGATGTTTACATTCAGATAGGTAATAGCA